CATTCTCAGGTTTTTGATGCATTTAGAAGAAGAATGCTGAATTATAAATGCTCCAAATGAACTACCTTTGGTGAGATGTCCGTATGGGCTTGCTTTAGTGTAAGAACAGCCTATAGCAGACCACAGGAATACCTCCATCTCTTACCTGGTTCTTTCATTTTCTACATAGGCCTAAGGAATTGAAGATGCCAATAAAGGTGGGATAAAAAACCCTTTTTATCATTTCAGGTGTTGCTTAATGCACATCAGGACTGAGGATGTGGTTTATGTCAATCCAATTGCTCACTTTCACATTTTCTTTTCCTTCTAGCTGAACTTTGGGCGTTTTGATCCCGTCCTGAGTGACCATCACCTGTTTCCTTCTGTCTATCAGATAGCCCCCAAGGACACATCTCTAGCTTTTGCCATGGTTTCCTTGATGGTTCATTTCAGCTGGAAGTGGGTGGGTCTGTTGATCTCAGAAGATGAGAATGGTTTGTGGATGCTGCCCCAATTGAGAGAAGAGATGAACAACTACAAAATCTGTACAGCTTTTGAACACATACTACCACTTTCTTTCTTTCATGAAGTAACCGATTATGTATCCTTTCATCAGAAAATTAGAAATTCACTCACAAATGTGGTTCTCCTTTATGGTGACAATGAGTTCATGGTCAACTTGTTAAATGTTCATTTCACAAGATTTTTAAGTCTAGGAACCGTCTGGGTCATAATCTCCCTTAGTACATTTCTGTATGTGATGAAATATTTTTTGTTACATTCACTCCATGCACCTCTCATTTTCTCACACCACCATGGAGAGATTTCTGGTTTCAACAATTTTATCAAAACTGCTAACCTATCCAAATACCCAAAAGACTATTTCCTTGATTTGGTGTGGATTCGCTTTTTTAAGTGCACATTTTCTGAGTCTAGTTTTGTCACTTGGAAGAACTGTCCAGCCAATGCATCCTTGGATTGGTTGCCTAGGTACCTTTTTGACATAGGCATGATGGAAGAGAGTTACTATATATATAATGCTGTGTATGCTGTGGCTCAGGCCCTTCATGAGATGCTTATTGGTCAAGCAGAAGCACAGCCAGTGGGAAATGGAAGAAAACTTCAGTTTTCCCCTTTCCCGGTGAAGGATTTACACTGGCAAGTAAGTGCTATCAGCAAACTGACATTGTAAGAGGGATTCATTCAAACCAAACTAGGTAGTCAAGACAGAGATTTTTAACAGACAAAGTGATGCCTGGTGCCAGTGGCTCACACCGGTAATCCTAACTACTCAGGAAACTGAGATATGAGGATGGAGATTCAAATCCAGCAATAGTAAGAAACTCCTTGAGACTCTTATCTCCAATAAACCACTCAGAAAACTGAGAGTGGAACTGTGGCTTAAGTGGTAAAGCTCTAGCTTTGAGATGAAAAGCTCAGGGAGAGCACCCAGCCCAGATTTCCAGCCCGATGACCACCACCACCACTAATAAAATAAAATAAAATAAAATAGAATAAAATAGAGAGAGAAAGTTTAAAGCTTACTCAGCTTAGCTGTCTCTGATGGCTTTTGTTTTTGATTTTTTTGTGCCATCCCTTAGATTTGAACTCAGGGCCTAGGCTTCTTTTGCTCAATGTGAGTAGTTGACCATTTAAGCAAACACTCTACTTCTTGTTTTTCTTGGTAGGTAATTGGAGATAAGTGTCTCATGGTTGTTCATGTCCAGGCTGGCATCACACTGGGATCCTCAGATCTCTGCCTCCTAAGTAGTTTGCATTACAGTTGTGAGCCACCATCACCCGTCTGCCTTTGAAATAGTTTTTAAAACATGTAGAATTTTACCTGATAAAACAGATTGGCAAGAGTGAATTTTTAATGAATTCATTACTTATATTGTATTCATTTGAGCTATCTGTTAACATGTCAGTGCTCACCCTTTCGATTTTGCACTTATTGATTTTGTATTTAAATTTGTAACAGGCAAGCAATAATTCAAAATTTGTCTACTTCAAATATTTTGTGCACAATTGTTCATTTTTCATATAAGAAATACTTTATTTCTTTTTTTGGGGGGGGGTCCAGTCGTGGGGCCTGAACTCTGGGCCTGGGCACTGTACCTCAGCTC